AAAAAAATCTTAAAACTATTTATAACTAGTACACATATTTTTACAAATTATGATTTCAATATTTAATTTTAACAATATTTTTTTCCAACGAGAATCACTTAAATACTACTATATTTGTATAACCTTCCTGTGGTGGTGGTGGTGGTGGTGGTATAGTATAATGCCCGTGAGCCAACGTATCGATTCTGTTGTCGAGCGTGTAGCGCTTATCGTCGAAACGGTTAAGTGCCAACTTGGTTGTACGTAAAGTGCGTACTTCGTGCTCGAACGAACGGATTGACACGTTCTGTCGGTACGGAGTGTATGGTAGCGATAATGTCGATGGAGCCTCACCATCGCGTACAGCTCCGATGACCACACGGGCATTCTCTCCAGCCAATGCTCGTTTTGATGCATCGTCGCCATTGCCATCGTCTTCGAACAAACATCGTTTGTAATCGTCCAAAGACAGATGGTTCCGGACGACGTGCCCGCAAATCTCTTTAGACTTGATGAGTTTGCTACCTTCAATGTCATATGCGTAGCACTTTGATCGAAGTGCAGCGATCTCAAAGAGGGTGAGGCCACCGGTCTCANAGCGATCTCAAAGAGAGTGAGGCCACTGGTCTCGTCTGAAAACAAGCCGGGCATCTTCTTTCTATCGGTGGAGTAGCAAGGGTGATCCTTGGGCAGGCTAGATGCGTCCACGTGCACCAGTAAATCGGGACTATCAGCTAAATCCTGGTAGAAGTCGCCGACTCTGAGCAGGTATATGAAGGAGTCTGAGAAAAATGAAAAATATATAAATATTATAAAAAATATTTCTACTAAATAATTTCTAAATTCCAAAATATTTCTATTTTGTACGGTTGTACTCACCAGTATCCATGTAAACCAATTCGATTGCGTTGCCATAATGTGGTTTCAATACGTCGTTGTAGTACTTGTACATTAGCGTCTTGCTAATGTCAAGCACTGCTAAACCGACGTATATTGGTTTGATAAACTTGACAATCTTTGTGTCCATTATGACAGCGCACAACCTTTCACCATATTTGATACAATCGTTGAAGGTTGGTTGGTTTATGAGCTTGCTTAGACATTTGGAACTAGAGATTAGCTCAATGCGGGTACGCTTCCGCATGTTCTCCATGGTTTTTCCTATAAAATGTAAAAATTTATCGAATAACCCACAACTGCTTTAGCATTGAGCAAGCTTTTACCAAAGACGGCATTATTCATTAGTTTGAAAAATGCTATTTCAAAAGCATTTGCCGCCTGTTTCCGCATTTCAGTGTTCAACTCAATGTATGGTTTCAAACAAGCACTTTGTTGAAACTCTAAAACGCGGTGCACCTGCAGTACAAATATTTATATTAGTATCATCGCTTATAGTTTATAGGTTAATTACACATACTTTATCGACTTGCAGTCCGTGTGCGATGGCCTGTTTTAAGTTGACATAGTATACGATGTACCGCTGTTTGGGTATCAAAATGGCCAAAAGTTTGGTCTCTTTGGAACCCGGTGGTAAATCGTTGCCAGGAAAGCACGGCAAGTTGTTGTGCTCGTTATGCAGCTCTTGTGGATACGACACATCCACTTCATATATACGTCCCGTATTACCAGTGTCCGACAACTATTGGAGGTCAGCCAGAGGGTCTGCTCCTTTATACCACCGAAAGCCACCGAATGGCATGGGCTGACTCATAGCCCACCCGTAAAGGTTATTGCCTGAATACATTAAACGTTTTTAAACCACCGCTCAATTATTGCGCGTTTATATATACGTATAGATTACTTACAGTCTTGATACACGATCCATGAGTCTGGTTTTGACGGAACGTATTCGGCTGTCTAAGGATTGTTGGCCTTTGCATAGTGCTTGACAGCCTGCACTAACCCACCACGAATGCCCTGTTCCACCATCAGTAGCATGTCGTAGTCGTTCAAGAGCTCCGCTTCGTCCTGGTGTATTTCAACATACAATCGAAGCTAGAACTAGGCGCGGTGTAATATTGCGCCGGGTCCAAATTGTATGTTGAAATACAGATGTCGCAGAAGTTCTCAAACACATCAGCCAACAACAACACGTCGATCTTAAGGTATAGGTCGCTGTACTCACTGAGGGTTGAGCAGCCGAAACGGTTCCACACTTCCGTGGCATGTCTATAGTTATCATCATCGATATTCGACTCACTTAACTGACTATAGAAAGCGTCTTGAGGCGGTAGTTCCGTTTCGTCCAATTTAATCCAACTATCAGTGTACTCGTAGGGGTATACGCCCTTACGCGTCACCAACAGCATGTATTCCGGACGGAACACTTTGGCCGTCTCCCGAAATTTAACGAAATCAGGCGTCATTAAGTTACCGGCCAAGGTGGACAGGGAGGAGGCTATGAACCGGAAGGTGTCGACGAACCGTATGAAAAAGTAATTGGTCACGTATTTCGTGACTGAAATATACTTCTCCTCGGAATTCGGTATGACCGAAATCCTTTGGTCGTCGTACCCCAATTCAGTAACTATGTAAATACGCGTCTTAACCTGAAAGATTGTGCAAGAAGCATGGCACAAAGTTGACCGTTTTCACATATAGGTTACATTCATTGCACAACGTCTGTCTGAATCGCCCCGATAAATGGCAGTTTCTGCGACTTTAGGGTTGGAATCCTTGAATGCCATGCGGCACAAGTCGCATACCACTTTCTCCCCGTGCCTGCGCACATCATCGGTAGACATTAGGATAGGAACGTTGGTTTTGCGCAACAATTTAGAAATGTTGCGCGTCACTTCAGTTACAGCCATCACAAATGCCTAAGCGACCTCTTCGCGATCCTCAGACCCACGGTATATCATCGGTGATTGTGGTATACCGTAGCGTTCGAGGAGCTCGGAGGGTACATCGTCCGATGTTTTCACCATAAACCCATAGCTCATGGGATGGTGGGTGTGCACAGTCCTGGTGTATGCATCCATACGATCGTCTGCTTTTTCCAGTAAGGCCTTAAAATCGGCTTAGATGACAAACGGTAACACCGACACAGGTGTGGGGAACGTCAACCTTGTGAAATCATACTTGTGTTCCTTGTTAAAATATTTTCGATCAACGCGATATTTGTGGTCTCACTTGAGTTGTCTCGCCAAAATAGACCACTTGAAACAAGACTGATCGATATTCTGTGGGTTGATGATTGCTTTTCTATTATTAATTTCGGGCGGAATCGGAATATACGATGAGCCGGCGAGGGGCGTATACTTGCATACGATCTCGGTGAAATCACTGGTATCCGTTAATTGCATACGTAACCTTTTCGACCTAACCACGCTGTTAGTAGCCCTACTACGCTTAGCCGCCTGACGTGATGAAACAGATGTCACGGAAGTAGCTTTAATCAAAAATAAAATAAATTATTTTTTTATACTTTAAAGTAAAGTAAAGAATTTCTTTTTTATAATAAATAAATAAATCGTAAATTTAAATAAAATTGATAGTAAAATAGGTATTGGCTTTATTTTNTTAAAATAAAATTAACAGTAAAATTAGGTATTGGCTATAATTTATTATTTTTAATAAATTAATGAATTTAAAAATTAAAAATATTTAAAAAATAAATTTATTAAAATAAAATAAGTTTATAATTGGAAAAATCTACATACCTTGTATAGAAGACGATTGAACTTGTTGGTTCATGGTTTTATTTATACGTTTAAATTATTAAATAATAATTTTCTGGTTTTCAAAAAGACAACTGCACGTCAATGATAATTAAAATCAAATGTGACAGGACAAGAAGTGTTTAACTGGTTATATAGTAAAGAATAAAATACGTAGGCGTGAAACACAGCGAGTGGTGTCATTTTTATCATAAAATGCATACGACAGTGATCGTTACTGTACGGTGGTACCTTTGATGTTGGAAATATGCTTACCTAAGCGTCTGGTAGCCGATGATAAAATTCTTAGAAATTGTAACTATAAATTCAATAATATATAGACAGCGGTACAATTTTTTCCCATAAAGTTACAGACGCTTATGAGCGTCATACTAAAATTATACCTTTGATATTGAATATATGCTTACCTAACCGTCTGGTAGACGATAGTAAAATTCTGAGAAATTATAAAGCCATAACGACAAACGTTACTATTGTTCTCATAAAGTCCATACGACAATGATCATTACTGTACGGCGACATCTTTAATGATGAAAAATATGCTTACCTAAGCGTCTGGTAGTCGAAGATAAAATTCTTAGAAAACGTTGGGATTCATCCTCTCCCTCCCCCCACCGTAAGGTTAGTTTACGTAAGGTTTCATCGTTCTCCCCCACCATTGCATTAGGTTAGTTTACGTTGAGTTTAATCCCCCCGTACACTTCCTCCACAGCAAGAATGGTGAGTGGATGGGGCGGGTGGCAGCTCTCTCCATTTTACCCTATAACTGGTGCCTACCAATTAATTAGTTTTTATCCTTAAATAAAGTGGATACAAATTTATTTCTTCATATCTACTTGTCTTTATTGTTCTAAACCATCGGACTCTACAACCCCGATAGATCCTCCTTGGTCACGAATTGACCTAATCCCCAAATATCCAAACCTTGTTTCAACATATACCCAACACACCCACTTCATATACGCTTATTTTTTTATTACTACAGTATTATGACATTATCGACGGCAGTAGTAGTAACAATATATATTTCAATCCCTGTGTCAATACAGTAATGTACTTAAACATCTAGGTCGGTGGTGTAAGCTTTTGCGTATGGAAGTGCGGTACATCAAACACGCGTACAGCACGCACGTTCAAGAATTAGCGCGTACCTATCTTTGTTTCACCGAGCTGTTCAACACATACGAATACTTTATGTATTCTTACATTAGATTCTGGTATTAATGTATTGTTTAATAATACTGCCAAAAATTAAAATGAAAATATAGCTTATTTACTAATCAAGTTTTTAATGTCTTAATTTAAAGATTACATTGTAAAATTTAACACANTAATTTACTAATCAAGTTTTTAATGTTTTAATTTAAAGATTACATTGTAAAATTTAACACAAAGTGAACTTAATATATAATAAAACACAAAAGATTCAAAATAAATTCTTATTTCGAAATTGTTTCTTTTGCCAAGAGTGAAATTATAGAATAGGACACACGCATCGCCTAAAATAAATTATTAATTCATAATTATTATTATATATTTATTATTATTATTTTAATCAAGTCACATGCATTATAATGAATATATTTTACATTGAATTTGATAAAATATAACGATTTCAGTTCTTTCTCTAAAAAAAAAGACTTACCGAGCCAAATACTTCTAGATTCAACGATTTTTGTGGAGTAATATTCATCTTTAATTTGTTCGTGTGATTTAAACTCATAGCCATTAAGAACATTTTTTTTAATTTTATACTTTTATCGGTCCAATTAATACTATACATAGTAAACTGTACTCCATTCATCTGATAATATAGTATAAAGTATAAATGTTAAAATAGAAGTCACTTAAATTTATGGAAAATAGTTATTAATGAAGTAATAAATTTTCACATATTATTTTATATAATAATTAATTTTAATTATAAATAAAAATTATTTCTCCATAAAAAAATTGTGTTGGTTTTTTATGACATTTATATTTACAAATACGCAGCATTTATTATCAATGGTAGTAAGGCACATTTGTTAGTATATAAACACACCAACAGCCAATACAAAAAGCATATATATTTATAAAGTTTTAATTGACATTAAACACTCCGCCTCTGTGATAGCGACGTAATAAGAAACCAATTCAATACTTGTATTTGTAATCCCTAGTCTATTAAATATGTATATTAACTCAAACAACTTGATACTTTCGAATTTTATATCTAACAAACGAATATATTTATATTAAAAATTAAAATGCCATTTATTATTAAAGTAAAACTTCAAACATTTTATTAAATCAAAATATGCGTACTCATTTCAAGAAAAAAAAAGTTGATAGCCTTACAATGCATAATGGAAGAACTTAAAAAGAATTACATAGTCAATAATTCAAGAATAATATGTAACTATCTTGTTTGTAATTGAGTGGTTGACGATAAAAAAATGATTTTGTATTAACTAGTATAACTTAAACAATATTGTAAAATAACATTAAGAAAAACTAATAGAAGAATTAATAGAACAATTGCATAAACAGTGAATATGTACTTTATACTACCCGTGATACGTCGCTATTTAGGGGTTGAGCCTAAATGCCCGTCGACAGTATTCTAAGGGACCAACGGGGGATAGCTGGCTAGGCTATATCTACCTTAGGTACTGAAGTTTCCTATTTAATTTATATTCCCTTAGAGGAACTACCAAGGGTCGCACTACAATATATATATATAACACTTTAGGTTAACAACGATAAAAATAAATATTTATTAAGCAATTGAAATATTAAATAGATAATACAACCTGCTGGACACCTAGAAATGTTATAATCCAACAGGGAGCTGACGGCGACACACACACACACTATAATATACGGGGTATCGAAGTTAAGTTAATTATCAGGCAAAAAAAAGTGATCGCGAAGATGGTAAAATGTCAACTGTCGATAGGGATATCTTATTATGACACATTGGCCGTGAATTGCAAAAAGTGTTTATGTGTGCAGTCCAGAGTGGTTGACGATAAAATAATGACTCTATATTTTAATAGACAAATTTTTTTTTTTTTTTTTTAAATTACGACTTCTAGGCACATAGTTTAAATGAACAAATGATGTTTATTTTTTTTATAAATATTTGCTCTCATTTACTGATGCATACTTTAACAAAGAGTGTATTTTATTCGTTAATGTATTTTTGAAAAGAACTCCGTAAAATTTTTATTATAAACGCTTAATAACTTCATTAATTAAGTATTTATATCATATTTAAGTAAAAATTACATAAAAACGTGCTGCCTACCATCGAAATCTAATTAATTAAATTAAATTTTTGATTCGGCCAAATCAAAAATTGTATTATGTAGATAACTTCAAAGTAATAAAACCATATTAATCGAAAAAATAATAATTTAACTTGATTTACGAGATAACTATAAAATAACACAAAATAAATAAGATTTTAGTAGTAAACTATAGTAAATTAGTATACAAAACATTAAAATGTAGCTACAGAGTAAAATTTTTTATTAAAAATTATTAAAATTCATTTAAACTATATTTGTTTATTATACTTTTTGCACTTTACTGTTTTGTACTTTTATTCGTGGGGCATACTTTTTTCGTATATTTTTTATGAAAATTTATTTTCATAAATATTGTAATATGTCATAAATGGAGTATTTATACAAATGTTTAGTCAAAATGTAATTAAAATGTACTAACTACTGTCAAAATCTAATTTACTTGATTTTCAAGATAACCATAAAAATAGCTTATAACAAACAAATCGATTATGGCCACTGATATTGATAATATAATTTTCACAAACCCAACTGATAATACACCATCATTTTGAAAGTAAATCTACAAACAAATTTCTCATCAAATTATGAAAATGACTTGATTGCTAATTTTGAAAATACATACCAAAATACACACATATATGAGAGCATTTAAAAGATTTAAGCAGTATACAAAAGTAAACCACGTCATCGGTTTCATAATTTCATGAAATTTCTTAATTGAACTAATAAGAATAATAATGATTAATAAAAATGTAATATCGAATTAGTTATTGGATTATCTATCATGTTATGAATAACATTTTAAAATGTGTTTTAAAAAACTATGTTTGACAATTAATCATTGTATAAAAACGCAGATAATATTCGTAACATGATGATAAGAATAAATGTATCATTTTAACAATACATAAAAATAAATGTTAAGTATAAAAAAAGATTACAATGAAGTAGTCACTTTGATATAACATATTTTTATCAACTTACACATTTATCTTTGTCTGATCCAAAAGTATTTGATTCAAATGTTTCATGTAGTAAGAGTCGTTTTTTTGTTCTATTTGGAAAATAAATAATTAATTTAAAATCTTAATAGTAATGAAAAAATTATGTTTTCCTTTTATGTTAACAAAAAATATTGAAATAAGAAATAGAGATTAATTATAATCATTTCACACGTACCTAATTCAACATTTTCATATCCAAATGATTCGAATTCAAACGCAATTATTTTCAGTTGAGCTGATAACATCCAACAAAATTGTATAACTATTGTATAGTAGAAAAACAATTCAGAACAAACATGTACTACTTCCAAAGCTTCCAATAGATAAACAATTGGGTAAATTTGCTCATAAACCGAAATGGGTATAAAACTTAAGAATGAATTTAGGATGTTGTTATGGTAAATAACCAGACTGCCGTCTCTTCTTTTTAGAGGAAATTCTTTTATAAGTAATGGACTAAGAAACCAAACTAAGCACCCCAAAATATACATAAAAAAGTTTATATTTATTATTTTAGTACACATAGATTCGTTGTGTTTAAACATATATTTTGCTTTATAATTAGAAGACAGAAAATAGCTACTCGATGCATCTAATAATTTCCTTAATTCACCATATTTTTTAGAAAGTCTATAGTTGTTTAGATATATTTGAATAGCGGATATTATATTTATAAATAATTGTGTAGCTGAAATAAAATCGTTTTTCACATAGTAAAAACCAATAAACACATAGCAATTGATTACAATAAATTCCAATAATAATAGTAGAGCATAAATGAGATGATAGAACTTGAAATTGCGAATTGCTGTCAGATTAAATGGATTAAGTTCACAATGCAAGTTTAGAATTTTTAATATTCGATCGTTTAAAATAAATTTTTCTCGAATATGATTTTGCATTTTATTTCGGAGTAGGGTTGTTCTGCCCTTGTATGACTAATTGATCTAAAAAAAAAATGTATGAAATTAATATTATTTATTACTTTTTTGTATTTTTTTTGTTGTTCTTTTGTTTTTACTTAATTAATTGAGTAATTAGTATATGACTTTTACACACAATAATTTATTTTGTCTGTTTGGAAAATATGAGTTAGACTTGTGATATATTCACTGAATTTTACAACATTATATTGGCTATTTAATAAGTAAGTTAAAGGGATTGAGCATTTCCCATTTTTGGTAACAATTAACCTATTTTTAAAATTTTTGAACACCTCTACTAAGTAATTCATTTATCATGAATCATTTAATTAATCGAAAAATAAAAATAATTTTTATTTTTTATTTTTTGATATCTTTTAGGTACATGTTTTTCTCAATTTAACAATGATTAAGTATATTTTGTTCACCACTTATACATTATAAGGTTGTTACTTTATTTTTAAAAATAACTCCATATATAAATGACTAGATTATTTAAATGATCTTATTACAAAAATGATTGTTGGATGACAATTTTTGAAAAAGTACTTCAGAAGTTATTGGCATTTCTATACCTTGGTGAGAAAACGAGTGCAGCCAAGGCTAGTGACAAAAATAGATACACCCACATCTTAGTAGGGACAAGTATAGATGATATCTGATAGTGATTAAAATCAATATCATAAGAAACGCTTCGATCTTAAACTATAGAAAGAATTTTAAGAAATTGGTGGATAATATCAAAATCAAAATGAAAACTATTTTTTCATTATTCCTGATTAGTAGTTCTTTGATTTATAAGTATAAGATAAGAATAGATATTTATTATAGCAATTAAGTCTAGTATAAAATTGAAATTTAATAATTTTGTGTTGTAATTTTTCCAGGAAACTTATAAAAAATTATAAAGTGGTTATTACTTTTATTGGCAAAATCATATAAAAATTGAAGGGTTTGATACAGAACTTTTTAGAAAATAATTTGTTGTTGATAATGAATTAAAGTTTTTACATGGAATTTTCATCAGAGTCAAAAATTTACTCTTTTTGATAAATTTTTCGCGCTGATTTCAAAACTGCAATTAGATTTTTTTTATAGGCACTAACTTTTGATATTATTACTAATAAGATAAAAAATATATGATATAACTATACGGCATATAGTTCTGAATATTTTAATTATAGCATATATTTAAACACTAAGGATTACATAGAAATTATTTCTATTGAAATCATTTATTACGATATAAATACAAAAATATGATAAGTAATTATATTAGTACGTGACTAAAATATAAAGTGGTTATTACTTTTATTGACGTAATCGTATAAAAATTGAAGGGCTTGATACATAACTTTTCAGAAAATAATTTGTTATTGATTATGAATTAAAGGTTTGACAAGGAACTTTCATCATAGTCAAAAATGTGTCCCCCAAAAATTATGGTATATGGGCTCCCTTGATACTACGGCAAATTAATTAGTAAAAGCCAACTGCCTATATTTTAATAATGTTTTTTTTTACAAAAATCCCCAATTTCTTTCCTGACAAACAAAAAAAAAAATTATTTAATTTTATTTATTCGCGCCAAACGGCAATTTACATAATGTTTACAACTAAGTGATTTAATTTATTAAAGATTAAGTATATTATAATAAAGTAATTAGTGATATAACGGAGGGGTACTAGTAAAAATGTGCTAATGGCGTTGATTGGCATTACGAAACATACAGTACAGCGAATTATTATAACTATAAGAGATAGATTGAGTTGGAATATGAATGGATGTTCGATTCCTTGAGGGGTAGGTTAGATCGCATATAATGAATTCATCTACTAAAAAGTGATCACGAAAGAATAATTATGTTTTTTCTTTGACTAGGATGTAAATAAAATAAGTGATGAGTACAACAGCTTTTGTCGTATTGGCTGACTTTTTGTTAAGGGCTGAAACTTAAAATCTCGGTAGGCTGAAAAGTCTCAATCCGACTCTTTATGACATGTATACTAAATATAATTAGGAGTGCATGCAATAATTACGTAAATCTATAACTATAGCGTATAAAATTATGTTTACTCATTCTTGCTTAGCAACAAATAAAAAATTTAAATTATACTGCACGTATATTACAATAAAAAGAGCATCCACATTAATCAATATTAAAGCTATGTGTAAAGTATGATATTTTTCCGTTTTTTCGATTTTACTAAAAGTTTTCATGGAGAACCCCATTTGTAATTTAATCGTATTATGTAAAGTTATCTTACCTTTCTAAACAAATATTAGAGAACTTCTGAAATTTTGGCAACAAGAAAAAAACAACTTTTTTGATTATAAAAACTTAATTTTAATGACTGCAACACGAAAAACATTAATATTATTTTTAGAAAAGTCAGATAATTTAACAAAAGCATTTAATTTTTCTATTGGTTTTAATGGTTGAAGTTAATATTAAAACGATAGCACATCATTTTTTGTTTAATACTTTCTCCTTTTACGGGATACGATTAGTGGTCTACTACGTATAGTTCATCAAAATCGGTCATGTCTCAGCTGAGAAAAGTAGGCGGCAGATAAAAAAAACACGTCATGGTAAATTGTACTTTTTCAGCTTCGCATCGAAGCTAAAATTAAAAAAAAAAATAGTGTTTAGGAAAAACGTAAGAATTATTTTTAAATAATAAAAAAAAATCCAAAAAAAAAATTGAGAACATTCTTTTCGTTGTAATAGACAAACATCAAGTAGTGTAATTTTCAAAATAACCTAGGGAGGCCGTTTCAAACATAATATTTCCAAACAAAATGATTTTTTACCAAGCTACGTTTTATTTTAAAAAAACTATAAAGTTTTGGAAACGAATACTACTACAATATTTACTAACCCTAAAATCATATTTTTAGTTTAAAAAAAAATATACAATTAATTTTGTATTTATTAGGCTAATTCATAATGAAATAGGATAACATCGACCAAAATAAAAAATATCATAAGCGCGGTTCTTTAAAACAAAAAAACATAACAAGAAATGTCTCGAGGATATAGCAAATAAATCTAAAAAAAACAAATTATTTTCTAACTGCTTCGTAAAATAACCTCAATTTAGAGCCGATAAAGATACCTCGTAAAAATCAAACACTCGAGAATTATGATATTTCTGTGCCACATTCATCTAGTTCTAAAATGCTTTCGGACAACTCTGAGGTTAAAATTTATTTGCGTCACGACGAAAATATTGACCTTCAAATCACTAATTCTGAAGTCAAAATTGATTTATGTGACCTTCTAGTCAAAAATAATTTAACTATAGTGATTGACCATCAAACAAATTTTAATTATTTTTTTGAGCCCAAGAGCAAACAAAATATTAAATATTTTTTTTCGTTTCATCCAAATTTCCAAGAGAAAATAGGTCTCCTTTACTATTTAATATAACTAAAGCTTATTATGAAATTATTCCAGGATCACAGACAATATCAAAAGAAATTGGTTATCCTATAGTCATGAACCTAATTCTTTATTTTGTTCAATATGTTTAGTATACTGCTCTAAATCATCAGCTTTTACTAGCCATAGTGGATTTAGCAGATGGATTCATGTTTATGAGCATATTAAAGATCACGAAGAGTCAAAAAATCACACAGAAGTGTCAAAATTAAGTGATGCAGAGAAGAAGAGTAGCTCAAATAATTATTGATGTTGTTAAAGTAATTGAAAAACAAGGATTACCTTTCAGAGGATTCAGATATGAGTCTGCTTACGACTTAAAAAATAAATCAGTAAATCATGGGAAATTTTTGGAAATAGAATTATTGATAGCAAAGTGGAATGCAAAATTAAGTAATCATATTACTAAAGCAATAATTGAAAGTGGAAAGAAATTGAAAAGAGGTAAATCTGGTAGAGGAAATTTGTTTACTTTTTTTAGGTCACAAAACTGTAACAAATGTAATTCAAACTATTGGCGAATTATTGTTGTGTAAGATATCTAAAGAAGTTAATGTGGCTAACAACTATTCAATTACAATAGATACATCTATGAATGTATCATCAGAAGATCAAAAATCTTCAGTAGAAGTTAAGGAAAGAGTTATAACTTTGAAAAAAATAATTTCCTCTTCAGGACAAGGCTTATTTGATTTGTTGAAATCAATTTTAATTTCTAAAAATATTAGATTAGATAAATGTATTGCAAACGCCTCTGATAAAGCCGCTAATATGAATGGAGAGTACAATGGAGTCCAGGCGAAACTTAAAAAACTGCTTCCAAGGCACATTCATACATGGTGCTATGCTCACGTATTGAATCTTGTACTGCAACAAATTACTTCGAGTAAGGTTATAGTAATATCTTTTTTCAAAGAATTATTTGTTTATTTTTAAAGAATCTTATAAAAGGCTCAATGTTTATGAATGTCAAAGTTTTTATGTACGATGAGGTGACACGAATGACGCAACACATGGGTGTCTAGTATACAACTGATTTATTAAACAAAAAGATACCACCGAGCAGCGGTAACAATTCCGATAAACCGGTTCAAATACGTATCAAAAGTAATTCTGGCCGTCAATCACATTTGATAATATATTAATTGTAACTAGATGGAGGTCTAAAAATGATGCCTTCGTAAAAATATTTGGTCGTATTATTATGTGGACAAATGAAGGCGAAAATGAAGACAGAAAAAACTGACCAATGTGCCAATTGTTTTAGCACTTTATGAAATATCTTTTTTAA